AAGGGAGACTAGTATAGATCTATTTCAAGCTATTTAGCTCTCATCAGCTAGCCATACCCTTGCTGGGAATCGAACCTGTGCTCTATTGTCTCATAGGCAGATGTGTTATATATCTATATATCCTTATATACATAATTTTTGTAGTGCTTTCCTCCCTCCTCTATTTATTGATTTCTTTTGGTTCTTTTTCTATTTTTTAATTAAGCTAATAAAAACAACCTAAATAATAAATAAAAGTAAAGACAAAGCTTTCTAGAGAGGTTTTGGGGAATGATGCAATAGGGGTATTGGGACTTTATTAATTCTAGGGCTGTGTTTTCATATTTTATTATAGTTTCTTAATTTTGTGAGCTGCTGAAAATCTTTTGATTGCAGCAGGACACCCATTTGATTAATAGATAAAATAATATAAATAAACAAAGGTGAGGAAATGATATATTTCATTCCACTGAGTGCTGGAAGGAGTGAACTCAGTGATTGGTAAGGTTACTTCTAGAACAATGAACATTGATTGACATGTCTTAGCTGAATTCAGCTACTGACCACCTCAGCCTACACAATGAAAGGCTGGAGATACTTTCATCAGCCATGCAGACAGTGGATAGCAGATTAGGGATGATTTAATTTGTGTTGTGAATGATTTATGGACACTAGAATAGACAGTGATGGAACAAAGCTCCTATAACAAACACTACTTATTTATTTATTACTATTTACAATAATGAACAATTTTTAGACAAATCATGCCAGAAAAATTGGAATCATTATGCAGGAAGTATTTATTTGGCAACCCCTTTTAAAATGGCCAAAGAGGCGGTCCTTTGAGGTTTCTTACAAATATGCCCCAGAAAAGAACAGGTTTTTAATTTGTTTCTCCACATCAATAACGTGCCTATTCTTAATTGCAGCGTAAAGTGGAAGCAGGTGTTCTCATCACAGTTTGCCACATCTAGTTTTAAGAATTCCTAAAACAAAATCCTTTCTATTTCCCAAAAGCTTTTAGCTTGATTACATTAAAGCGTCATAATTACGGTATGCTGCCAACTAGCAAGAGCTGGATGACAAGCCATAATTGGATGACACCAAATATTCTAAGCCTGGAAGTGACACCCACTTTCTGGGTGACTTCCTGGAAAAATGTAAGCGTATTTGTATCATTGTTTGTTGGTTACTCCCAGCTTTCTTCTCTTATCTGCTTCTTACAGAAACAGAGGTCTTATATAAGAGATTGCTCAAGTTTACCTCCGAGCTGCAGTGCAGAAGGACTAAGAAGTGTTGCCTAGCAACCAACATGCAATTTCAACTTGTCCAAAGCACAATGGAGAGGGAAGCAAAATGTTCCCTTGACCATTTTTTTTAAAAAAAAATGTGCGTTAGGACTAGGCAGAAGGGCAATGTCAGAACATAGGAATGGTTGAAACTTTTGCCAATTTCTTTCTCACTGCATCTATTTTAGAAGGTACACTAGAGTTGTTGTGTTTTTTGCTTTAACATCACAGGAAGCCATGACTTCCATTTTCTGCAGTTAGAATTTGGGACTGCAAAAACAGGATTGGGGCTGCATGGGGAGCCTGAGATAAAAATGTGTTCCCCACTACAAAAACATTCCCTTTCAAGTTAATACCATGATGGGAATTTGGAACTGGAGCATGAGTCAAAGAAATTGGAAACTGGAATCAAGAAAGTAGATCCAATTTAGCTGAAGGTAAATCTGTGGACCTCCTATACATATACATATCTGTGGACCTCCTATACATGTACAGCAATATATACTATGTTCTCAGCATGTTCCAAAGAAGTAGCATTATCAATGGCGTTTCAAGGTCTCCGCTATAGACAATTTCAAGGAAATTAACACACCTGGCCTTATTTCTGAAGTTCAACATTTTTCCTTATTGCATTTTGAGATCCATGATTTGGACTACTGTTATCCCGCAAACTTCATCTAAATGTTTACCTTTGCTCGCCACATCAGCCATAGTTTGAAGACATCAACATGGCGTCCACATTGCAATGCCTTGTCTCCAGTGTCATAAGAGAGATCATAATGTTTATCTTGTTGGAAGAGGTAAGAAGCATGCATCTGATTGCAGCTTTGCATCAGCCCCTTAAAAAGAAATAACATTCTGCATAGTTCTGATTTATTGAATCTTAAAAAACTACTTGTGTTGTAAAAGGTATCAAAAAGGGCAGGCCAAAAAATGAGGAGCTGAAGAAACCCTCCAAGAAAAGTTTACAAATAAGACAAGTACAGGGACCATGTCAAAAGTGTATACAATTATGCAAAATCTGTAAAGAAAGATAATTTCTTAATACCAATACCTGTGGGATTATTCAATGAAACCAAGCATGTGTGGTTTCTAGTCTAGGGAATCTAAGAAATCTTATTGTATTTATAATTTATTTATGGGGTTCCCACTGGACTCTATTGTGGCAATAGAATTTTGGATTTTTATCACTTCCATGTAAGTGGCATTCTTGTGTTATATATTACATTCTAGCATAGTCTATTTTAAATGGAGTGTGGATCAGTCACCAAAAAGCAACTCTCTACTCCTTTTTGACCGAAAAGGATTTAAATAAAAGATTGGAGAATCATTTGTCTGAAACGGAACAAGGACTTGTGCCTTAGGAATGGGGGGTTAGACTAGAAGACCTCCAAAATCCCTTCCAGATCTCTAATTGTATTTACCTGGACAGTTGTTATGAAGCATATTTTAATTCTAGGTTGAAAAGTGACTGAACTGTTTTCTTTTTAAATTTCAGATGTTATCTTAATTGCACATGGATATATCTGCTATGTCACAATTATGTATAATCAACGTAGGAAAAGGCAGAAAGTTGAAGGCAACAAGACACCATTCAAGGTTTCAGAGACTCACCTCTTCGCGTACAAGCAAGGCAGAACACTGAAGAGGAACCCCCATCATTTTGTGTGGATTCCATGTCACGGAATTTGCTCTGGAAGAGAAATCAAACTTTACAAGGAAGTGAAATGATCAAGGACTGCAATCTTAGAAACTCAAATGGAAAAGCAATTATAAAATGTAACAGAATTTTTGAAGCAGCAAGACTGAAAATAAGCATTTTAAAAAAAACCCACAGGAAAATGAAAAGTAGATAACATAATTGTTTGATGTCACCATCAGATCTCCATTCATCTTAACTGGATTAGCAGACAATCTTTTTTTGGTATTTAACACAAAGATTAGGATCTCAACTAAAAATAAACATTCCCGTTATCTGAAACAAGAATTTTAATATTTATGTATAGCGTTTTCATTTTCCATACTATTTGTCTTCTGATTCATCTTTACATGCATTTTGGAAGGTAATTATTAATTATTCAACAGGTAAAAAAACTGAGGTTGATAAAACAAGTACAATATTTCGATTTTAGGTTTCACAGATAAATGGACGATATATTGCAGTTCCACAGCTGCATCATCTGTTTTGTTTTGTTTTGAGGAGGAAAGCATATCTGATGGCATTTTATATCTATGTTTCACATTAGTTCTGGAAGGTGGATAATATTAAGTCATTAGGGTGTGCGATAATGAAGATATACATTATCTTAGCTTCAGTGAGAAGCTTAAAATGCAGGCCCACCACCAGTAGAAGCTGAAATGCTGCGTGTAACACCATAATACTGATTTATGTGTTGCTTTCCATCATACACCATGGTTTTCTGCTGTGTAAATAAATGCAGAGGGTCTCAACCAGGGGTGAAATCCAGCAGGTTCTGACAAGTTCTGGAGAACCTGTAGCAGAAATTTTGAGGAGTTCGGAGAAATGGCAAATACTACTATGACTGGCCCCAGAGTGGGATGAGAATGGAGATTTTGCAGTTTCCTTCCCCTGGAGTGGGGAGGGAATGGAGATTTTGTAATATCCTTCCCCTGCCATGCCCACCAAGCCACACCCACAGAACCAGTAGTAAAAAAAATTGAATTTCACCACTGGTCTCAACCTTGCATTTATTCTCTTTTCCTTTGAAAAAAATAGTTTAGAACTTTTTACTTCTGAGCTCTCCAATGTCTAAACCTGAAAGAAATATTTGGAGTTGTTAAATTATGGTTAATTAGCATTACCGAGAATCTGAAAGTTTGACTTCATTCGGCTTAAACATAGCTTAACTAAAACAAATGCCTCCAGTCTCCTTATTAACATGCAGAAGAGGGGAAAAAAGCAGGAAGCCAGGGTCATCTGAAGGTTCATATGCTCCTATAAAGTATTAGGAAATATTATTACAGAATACAGAGTAATGTATTCCATGCACTAGAGTAAGCCATAAAGTAGTTTAACCAAGTGCAGTTTAGTAGATTGAATAAATGCAATCATTAGAGATCAAGCCATGATTTATGGCTTAAACCTATAAATTCAAACAGTTGTAGTTTATCTTGTAAACCTTAGTGAAGCAACATATTAAAAAGTATAACTGGAGAAATGTCTTGGAAATGTTGGAAGTATGAATTCAGTGTCACTGTCTCTCCATGAACCACTAACTACAAGGGTATATGTATAATATTAAGTATTTATTCAATATTCTGTCTTTATTACTCTGCCAATGTCATATGAGAAAGATCAAGATCACACATTATGATTTAATTGAATAACTTTATTGCTCATGCCTATGCACAGGAATATTCTCAACTAGAAGTTAGATAAGGATCAACAGAATTCATGATAGGTCGGATTTAGCACGTTTGTGGCTAGGGATTCTAGGATTATCCCTCTTTTGACTCTGCCCCCAGGCTCTGCCACTCCTCCTCTTGCATCCTGTCTAAGATATTGTTAATCTCAGAGTCACTTTCTTGCAGGATGCTGTTAATTAGGTGCTAGGCCAGTGATGGTTAACCTTTTCGTCACCAAGTGCTGAAACTGGAGCGCATGTGCATGCGCTGGAATACCAGAACCCAGAAGAGAGCAGCTGGCCTGTGCATATGCACATGGCAACCAGCTGCTTTTCTGGGGCCTGTTGTGCCCATGCATGCTGGACAGCTGGTCCGGCATGCATGCGCACTGGCCAGCTGCTCTCTTCTGGGTTCCAATGCTCCGGTTTGAGTGCATGTGCTCCAGTTTTGACATACATGCTTGCGATGGAACCCAGATATGGCATGCACATGACGGACAGCTGGTCTAGCATGCATGCGCACCAGCTAGTTGCTGTGTTTTGGGTTCTGGTGCTCTGGTGTGAATGCATGTGCTCCAGTTTTGGCGTGCATGCACAAGATGAAACCTGGATCCAGCATATGAGTGTGCCGGACAGCTGGTCCGGTGCATATACACCCAGAAGAGCAGCTGGTGACAGCGCTCGTACCCACATAGAGGGCTCTGCATGCCACCTCTGGCACGCATGTCATAGGTTTGCCATCGCGGCGCTAGGCTTTGCCCAGGGGCATTTTGTTATATAAGCAGGACATGGAGTAGGGGGTTAAGAACTGCCCTGTGTAATCAACCTGCATGCTTGATGCATATAAAATGAGAAGAGGCTTTAATCTCAACTGTTACCACCTTTTTTTGGTAATTCTTGCAAATGGCCTGGTATGTAAGCATTTTACACCAGACTTCCCTGATCCTAACTGTCCAGATTTCAAAGATTTTAGTTCTTAGCTAGCATGACCAAAAAGCATCCAAAGGGAAATTATGGGAATTATTGCTTAAAAAGTTGGAGAATTCCTACCATGAAAACCTAGACAATTATTTCAAACATGAATTAAATTGGCTTTGGGTTTTTTTTAAAACCATTTTGGAGTTTCTTATCAGTGTGAGAAGCATATCACAATATTGTTATAAACCATACCTTTCAATGCCATTTAATTTCCATTTATGTTTTCTTGACATCAGCAGCCCACCACCCCAAGCTCCCTGGAAAAAGATTACAATCATCAGTTCCATTAAATAATAATTCAGATTTCTGAAAACATAACATTCTCATATTTAAATACATGAATCACTTATTTTCAACTTTTTACTAATTTGGAGAAAGCAGTTAAAACTTTGGAAATTGCCAAAGGTAGATTTTGATCAGTTTTCTAGTAACACTACTGTAATTTGCAGTATATGTTGGAACTAGCTTGAATGCCTTTTATAATGGCATTAATAAATCTTTCAACACAAAGATCTTCCATATGTAATGTATAGGAATAGCAATAGCACTTTGACTTATATACCACTTCATGGTGGTCTACAGTCCTCTGTAAGCAATTTACAGAGTCAGCGTATTGCCCCCAACAATCTGGGTCCTCATTTTACCCACCTCAGAAGGAAGGAAGGCTGAGTCAACCTCAGCCTGGTGAGATTTGAACTGTCAAATTGCAGGCAGTTGGCAGTCAAGTAGTCTCCAGTACTGCATTCTAACCTCTGTGCTATCTTGGCACATGTATATGTATATGTGAATGAGTATCAGTGGTGGGTTGCCAATTTTTGTACTACTGGTTTGGGTGCACTCCCATGCGTGCTCGCAATATTCTACGCATGCACAGAAGTGTCTGGGAGGGTGGGCAGAGCCTCCCGCCACCGCTACTACTGGTTTGGCTAAACCAGACCAAACCAGGAGCAATCCACCTCTGAAGTGTATGTATATGTGCATGTGCATGCATATACATACACACACACATGCACATACACACACATGTGTCTATGTGTATGTCTGTAATTATGTACCATTGTGGATACAGATGGAGTTGTACTTTTTAAAAAAGATAACTTTGTGGAGGATTGATTTATCTATCACCATTAAGCATGAAGTCTACATAAAATGCCGGAATACTAAGATACTGTATCTTTGCACATTGAATGGTTCACCATCTTTAGGGCCGCCCTGTTATCTTTGAGAAACAGAAATCCTTTCAATCTTCCAAAGATGCTGTTAAGCAACATAGCTTAGGCACAGTTAAATCCTCTGCATCTTCATTATCATTCCCACCAGCAGACCCAGGACTGGATTTACAGTCTGACGCTTGAAGATTTTATACTCACATCCACATGCATCCATATTTTATACTTCTTGCAAATATCAGCAATAGCTATAAGCGGATCAAAAGCTCCGTATACGGTGGTTCCTGCAGTGGCACTTACTAGAAAAGGAACAAATCCCTACAGGAAAATAATATTAAAAAAAAACACAACTCAGCAGAGATTAATTTCTTCTCCTTTGGCAATGCATAAGAAACCACTTTCTGTTAGGAGGTAGCCAAGAGATTATACAGTACTTACTATTACAGTTACTTTATTTGCCATGTGATTGCTGTTTCTAACAGTAGGAGGCAGCAAACTGCCAAAACAATAGAAATGATTCAAGTGCTGTTTGCCTAAACATCCGAATGGGGTACATAACAGACCATCCAGAGTGCAATCTTAAACTCTCAGAGCAGAGAGGACCTAATTAAATGTCTTCAGCTTCCTTACATTTCACCTAAACGTTGTCAGGATTTCCTCATTGGGGATCTTTACAGTAACTTAGCTCTTACAGTGTGGACATACGTAACGTTTTGCTGAAATAGCTGCACAGTGTTCTAATTTTATCAGACTAATAGGATGTATCGTTCTCCACGATTGGAGGAGATAATATTTTGAGGATACCGATTGGCTGATAAAATGCCATAAGCGAGGCATTATCTTTGCAAATTTAGCAGGGACTGATCAATGCTTGCTTAGTCACATGACACTTTCTTTTAAAAAGGAGGGAAGGAAATTCAATAAAACACATGTAGGTTGGATGTGATCAGACAGAAAAACTGCAGACTTTAAATGCAGACAAGTAGGGGTGGGATTCTACAGGTTCAGACTGGTTTGGGTGAACTGGTAGCTCCGACTGTCAGCTGGGAGCGAACCGGTTCGCTCCAAATTTTTAGCTGCCCACCCCTGCACTATACGCATCTATATTCCCTTTTCTGAAGGCCAGCTGATAGGTGCGGGAGAATGGATTGCTGCGCTTCAGCTGTTTTCCTCCCCAGCAGTAATGCAGAGGGTGATTACACTGTAAACTGCCCGAAGCGCTCTCTCAGCGAACCGGTTGTTAAACTGGTAGGATCCCATGCCTGGGGACAAGGTATGGCCAGTACTGTGATTAGTGAGGAACATTGGAGTGCCAGGGAGTCCCCTGGTTTGTCATAGAAATTCCAAAACAGAAAAGAGCCTATAACATTTTATGGGTTTGAGTTTGCTTTGTGTGTGTGTGTGTGTGTGTGTGTGTGCGCGCATGCGTGAAAAACGCCAAAAAAAGGCAGCCACAACCATGCAATTAAAACCCCACTCTTTTTTACATGCATTGTAACAAACTAAATTTTGACTGAGTAGTTGTGGCTGTAGTCTTGACATTTTTTGACACAAAACACACACACACACACAAACACTGATGGATGGATGGATGGATGGATGGACTGACCTGACATTTCCCCCTTTTTTCTTCATTCCATTTACTCTAGCCTCATAATTTCCTGAGAAGAATTCAAATGTTTGCACATTATTCTGGGACATTTGGAACTGTCTAATAAAAGTAGTGCCTTAATATGGATTTTTGAAGATACTTTGTGCTTTACTCATTTCTTTGTTTTTACCTCACTTGGAAAAATCCAAATCCAGTACCAAGATTAATGCCAAGATCCTACACTAGAGGAAGAGGATTTTGAGAAATGAGGATGGGCTTTCATTCTCTGAGGGAACCACGTATCAGCAAGCATTTCCCCACCTTTCAGATAATTTCTTCTCTTTCTCAAAATTCTACACAGTTGGATTTTTAAAAAATCCATATGCACATAAAAGAGCTATGTTTAATTTATTTTTACCTAGCTAGTGACAGACCCTTTTTTTTCAAGCAAAAATAATTTAGAGTACCAGATCCATTATCCTTAAATGACCATAATGAAACTTTTAATCCGGCATATTGATGAAGACGAAGATATAGCACAAAAAATATTATTATCACTGGAATATCTGAATGGCATTAAATAGAAACTTTAGATAGAATTAACTTGCCTTTTGCTTGGCCTCAACAATTCGCCTTTCAAGATCAGATGGGATCATTTTCCCTCTGGAAATAATGAATATATAAATAAATATGATGGATATGGATATAATCATGCCAACCACAAATGTTTTCAAATGTCTTATCCAAGATAAGCTGCTATTTATGAAAATTGTCTTTTGCTACTTACAATGTCAGAAGCATTAGCTTATTTGTCAGTTTATAAAGCAACACAATTGGCATATACACAACATAGTAAACCTAATTACAGAATTAAATAATTTCCAAACAATTCATGCAATATGCTGAGGAAGTCTAAGATGGCTCATTTACATAACACATGATGCTATTAAAAAATTAATCCAGGTTAATGCCAAGCAAACTTGTGTATTGTACAAATGCACATACTTTTACCTGACATAATTAAACCTATTTTGTAATGCGTTGTTAACATGTTCATTCACTATCTTGTGTTTATTACTTGTCTGAATTACAAGTGGCTGATAGCTAGGTTTGAAGAAAAAATTGTCTCTCATTCATGCAAGTATAAACTCGTGTGTGTGTGTGTGTGTGTGTGTGTGTGTGTGTGTGTGTGTGTCCATCCCTAATCTTACCAGTAGTGTTTGAGTGAGGGGATTTCAAAAGTACTATAAGCAATTCAGATTTATGAAACGATTTATTTTTCCACTATTAATTTGCCTATTAAATTATTAAAGCATATGAGTCTAAAAGGTACTTGATAAATCCTGGCAATTTAAAAATCATATTTTAAAAATGTTTAAGCCACAATATATATAGCTGCCGAGATGATACAGTCATGGTACCATGAAATATGTTCAGATTGACTGCTATAATCAGTTCCATGGGGGCAGAATCAAGATTTTAATAGGATCTGAGCTAGACATTCAGATGAAGCATGCTATGCAGCTTCCAAGAACTGTATCACTGTAGGTTGCACAAATAGAATTTTCAGCATAAGGAACATCTTCAATAAACTCATTTGTTCTGTAGTAAATACAGCTCTGAGAAAACCACCATGGGTACCAGAGGTGGTATTCAGCGGTTCTGGAGAACTGGTAGTGGAAATTTTGGGTAGTTCAGAGAACTGGCAAATATCATCTCTGGCTGACCCCACTCCCGATCTATTCACTGCCTCCCGAGTCCCAGCTGATTGACTGGGTCTTCTTTTGTTGCCCTGCACAGGAGAATGGAGCTGGAAAGCAGGTTAGTGGAGTAGGGAGAGATTGGGGATTTTGCAGTATCCTTCCACCAGGAGTGGGGTGGGAATAGGGATTTTGCAGTATCCTTCCCCCAGGAGTGGGGAGGGAATGGGGATTTTGCAGTATCCTTCCCACAGGAGTGGGGTGGGAATAGGGATTTTGCAGTATCCTTCCCCCAGGAATGGGGAGGGAATGGGGATTTTGCAGTATTCTTCCTCCAGGAGTGGGGACGGAATGGGGATTTTGCAGTATCCTTCCCCCAGGAGTGGGGAGGGAATCGGGATTTTGCAGTATCCTTCCCCTGCCATGCCCACCAAGTCATTCCCACCAAGCCATGCCATGCCCACAGAACTGCGGGTAATATTTTTTGAATCCACTACTGATGGGTACCATGAGTCTTTCTCCACCAGAGAAAGGGTGGGTGTTTGAGACCTGTGTGCAGTATCTTAGCTGTATTAGTGCTCTGTTCTTCTGAACAGAGCTGTGATGCTATTTCTGGGATATGTTGTAGCTACTCTTTCATCTGAGGAGTTACAGATCAAAGTGCTTCTATTACCACTTTGGTTTTCTTTCTTTTTTATAAAAATAAAAAAATAACTACAGGTAGTCCTCGACTTACAACAATTCATTTAGTGACTGTTCAAAGTTACAACAACACTGAAAAAATGTGACTTATGATCATTTTTCAAAGTTATGATCTTTGCAGCCTCCCCCATGATCATGTCATTAAAATTCAGATGGTTGGCAACTGGTTCATATTTATGACGGTTGCAGTGTCCGAAAGTCATGTTTTTGCGACCTTATGACAAGCAAAGTCAATGAGGAAGTCAGATTCATTTATCAACTGGGTTACTAACTTACCAATTGCAGTGATTCACTTAACAATTATGGCAAGAAAGGTGATAAAATGAGACATAATTCACTTAACAAATGTCTCATTTAATTTTGGACCAAATTGTGGTCATAAATCGCCTATGTTTAATAAAGAAGGGGAAAAAAGCAAGAGTCATTGCTGTTCTTCTTGATATTCATAGATTGATTATTTCTTTGCTTACTATAATTTTACAGTTGTCCCATAACACAAGTTATCTGGGGATCTTATAACCAACATCATATAAACAAGAAATACTGCCAAACCTCAATCAGACTTAAATTATTGAAATTGAGACAGTCAGACTAAAAGATTCAAAGATATGGTGTCAAAATCAGCAAAGATATGGGGTCAAAATCCTTAGCACCAGGAAATTTCTCTCTGGGAAGACATTCCATAATTGAGGTGCTACTATCTGGAAAAAAAAATTCTTCCTACTAAGGATAATTGGTCAGTTTATTTGCCCAGGACACTGAGAACAATCCCCTAAAGATTTGGTAGGTGCAAAGAAGAGACAATGGTTTTCTGGTATTCAGGCTTTATAAATTATAAAAACCAATTAAACCAATTCATAAGCAGAGACTTTAGGAAATAGAATTAGCAGCAATTCCTACCTTGGATGACTCTCAATGGCCATAAAAAGTGCAACACAATAGTAGATCAAAGACAGGAAATGTTTGGAAATGGAAAATACTTACCTTATTACATTGATTAGTAAATATGATGAGAGATTAAATATTTCTAAACCTACTTTCTGGGCAACTATTCATACCAATGGAGTTTATTTTAAAAAATCTGCTGTATTCCAAAACATTTCCTATTAAAATGTATCTATTGCACTCATAAATACAATTATTAAAGGATTTTTTTTTCCTTGCAAAAGGGTAAACCAGGTTTTGAGGTTTTGGCACTTGCACATATGAATGCTGAAATTTTGTGGAATCTTTCTGGATAAATTTGGTTTCTTTGGGTTGAGAATGTACAACAGCCTGAAAATGGGTGCTGACCTTTAGTTAAATTAAAAGTTCTGCTTACCTTTCATCACATCTGATCAAAATCACACTGTCAGTACCAATTCCTAAAGCTGCTGCTCCTTTCTTCACTGAAAAATGACTCTGAAAAAGTATATTGATTATTTTGTCCATGGAAGCAATGCACCAATATATTTCTCCTATAAAATAATGCTCTTGCATTTGTCTTCTTTGCAAACTAGTGAAATGTTAGTAATAATTCTTTGAGGGTTTGTAAAAAAAAAGAGGCAAAATCAGGTCTCACCTTAGAAATTGACAAATGCATTATGATAGAGGCTTTAGTGAGCTACTGTATATTTCACCAGCAGGATAAAATGTTCTGAGTTACAATGCAAGTCTAATCAAGTAATGGTATTTTAAATTAATTTGCAGAAGATACAGTAGGTTCAGCAGTTGTTGACACAGAAACCTTTGGGCAGTGGGTAGTTTGAATCCTATTATTTTATTTTTCTTTTCTTTGCAATTCTCCCCTGTCCATATTTATATTTATCTGAAACAATCCTATTGGGAGAAATTGGAGAAACTCATATTTAGCCTTGAAAAGCTTGAGAAAGTGTGTTGAGAAATCTCAAATTCCTGAAAATGGAAGTGCTCATAATTAGGAGGCCTGTCCATCCTCTATTCCCTCTGTCTGGCATGTAACATTTTCTGAATGCAACTTTTTCTTACAGGCCTACTGCAGCCCACTTGTCAAACATCTTAACAATCAATGGCCATTTTTGTTAAATAGTCTTGAGCCACTTTTCAAATGTCTGGGTCTCAAGAGATATTAATTCATTTTTTCAATTAAAAAAAAGAGTAGGATTGGAGCTTGTGCATTTCATCAGTATATTTAACAATTTGTATCACAGTTTTCATGTGTTTCCCAACCCAAAACTGTACAGCCATCATTCATGTGTCTGATTAGGAACAGGGGATGATGGATTTTTAGGGATTGCAAGAGTTTTGAAGACAGATAACAATGTAAGATGCAGTTCTGAATGCAGGGTGCCAGCCCTGAAAAAAATTATTCTTTTTGGGGAAGAAATTTAAATCCCAGAGCTCAGTGTCACTTCAAGAGTGAGTTAAGTGACATATAAATTGAATGAATTAATTAATGAATTTCCTTTATGAATAAATGTGAAAGGACCTTGTCTTTATCTGTGAGTCCCATAACATTACTCTTTCATTCATACAATATTTTAATTTGATTAAAAATAGAATTGATCTGATCTGATAACTATATCCAAACAGATAAATTATATAATGGCTTAATGGATGATCTGGTTCTCCTTCGACCTGTAAATGATTTATATCTAATATTACCATGTTGTTCAAACTCAGACAGAGTCATCTAGCACAGTTGTTTAGAAAATTACTCACTTGATGTAAAACAAAAAGTTTTGAATTCTAAGTATTTATATCAATTCAATTCTAGGAGCCTTATGAAGTCCTTAAACCACCTTTCTCAAGAGCCTCATATCATCTCTGGACACCATTGTTGAAAACTGGTAGCATGGAAAGAGAGTCATAGTGAAACCATAATCTAAGTTGTACGGTACATTTTAAAAGAGTTTACAAATCTTGAAATTTCCCCATCTGCAGAGACAAGAAACTGCTCCAGAAAATTCTAACCTGCCCACTTTGCATCATACCTTCATCAGCTGTAAGTTCCAGCAACCCAAAAAACAAAACATTAGTGCACCTCCCGAGCATCAAAACTTTGCCAAGCGCTCCTATAAAGGCAGGATTAAATACAAATTCAGATTTATCCACAAACATCGCTGTATAATGCATTTCAAAAGGAAAGAATCGTTGGTTCTAATATGGGATCCCCTGTGAGGAAAAAAATGAACACACATCCAAAGGAAGAATATATGTTACAGAAAGAAAGCAACTATATATTAGCCAAAGGTAAGATGAGCATAGACAATTACAGAGGAACACCTACATGTTCTGAGGTGAAGGCAACCAGCCTTGGAATAGCTGCCATTCCTTTCTCTTTAACTTCTGGAAACATCTTGAAACGTGCAATCAACATAGCATACATGTTAGATATGGCACCACCTGGAGACCACAGTAACAGATTGTTACTTTTTTTAATTCACACTTTGCACACAAACTACACTTGTAAGAACCTTTTTGAAAGTAGACTTTTTACTCAGGGCTTAATCCAAATACAGGTATCATAAATTCTCAACTCATTCAGTTTATGTTCATTTGCTGAATTTTGAAGGCAGATAACAATGTAAGCAAATAGATGAAGACAAAAAAAAAAACCCCAATAAAAATACTGTACTTTTTACTCTTGTTTGAATCCATTTGCTCACTGACCCTTTCACTATTAAAAATCTAATCTTTGAAAGAATTTTGAAAATTCCGTACTATTTTTTAAAATTTTCCTATCACCTTCCCTTTCTTATCTTGCTGTTCTAGATTTGATGGCTTAGCTCCAAAGGAATAGAGAGTCTTAGGACACTAGGACACCTAGCCCTAATCCTAACCCTAGGACAATTTATTGTCCTATTTCTAGAATGTACATTCTTCAATGACCAAAGAGTTTGTTCAATTTATAATCTCAATAGAGGACAGTTTTTCCCCCAATAGATCAGACAGAGTTTGTTTCAGGCAGAGAAGACAGCAGAAAACATTTCTTCTCTTGAACTGGACTGTAAGAATTCCCAATTCTCACAGTAACTATTCAGGCATAGATATGTATTTGTACATTTTGATGATTGCATTGTGTGTTTAAAAATTTCTTGTACAAAATAGGTTGAATGCAGTATTGCATGCTAACTCACTTCCAGGAGTTCAGTTCTGACCAGCTCAAGGTTGACTCAGCCTTCCATCCTTCTGAGATGCGTAAAATGAGGACCCAGATTTTTTGGGGGGGCAATATGCTGACTCTCTAAACTGCTTAGAGAGGGTTGTGAAGCACTGTGTAGCAGTATATCAATCTAAGTGCTATTGCTATTTCTATTTTGTACTACTTTACTATATCTGACTCTGGCAAGTAGATTTGTGTTCTGCTTAAAAATTAATAGAATGAATTTTGCTTTCATTGCTACGTAATTATTTTAAATACATTTCTGTTAATTGAATCTCTAATCCAACTATCTCATTTGAATTAGATTCATTCACTGAGATAAGTCATTAAGTAATGGTTTGTAAATCATAATTGGCTCACATTACAAGTTTTTTTTTTTTTTAAAGGTCATATCATGGGCGAGGCCCTAGTGTAACTGTAATAGCTTTGATAAGTTGCTTACATCATTAAAGAAACAAAATAAGGTATGCCGGTTCAAAGTACAGAAATGAGAACAACATAAGCTTTTTGTAATTTCCAGACAGCCCTCCTATCTTCATTGGTTAGGTCTACAACAGCCTGACCTCATTATTAAATACTGTAATTTCTTATTTATTTCATACAAATGAGGGAATATTATGTACTACAGAACTAAGGAGTGAATATTTCATTTGATTGCATGTTCTCTACCATTTGATTCTTTATAAAGCAGCACAATGTGCTTGAAGGAACTTTCTGCAAGAACAGACAGTAAAGTTTTTGTTCTCAATGTCTCTCTGGATTGACATAAATATGCATCTTTTTTAATAACCAGGACAGAATGTTAAGAGCAAAGATTCATTTGGACATGCTGCTTCTCACATTAGATTGCCTTCAAAGGTATTGTATATCATAAGCATGAAAGCACAAAGAAGCATCACTTACCAGGTGAAAAAATTCCATCACCAGCACCTCCTGGCCAACCAATTATTTCTCTCATTTTTCTTAATGTGACATATTCCAACAGTACAAACACAGGAGCAATTTCATAGGTGAACCTAGAACATAGCAATTTCTGCATCTTACTGACTAAGTAAAAGTAAAGTACTAAGTATAAGTACTGACAGAATAACTCACTTCATAGAGTATAGAATATAGAATCATAGAGTTGGAAGGGACCTTGGAGGTCTTCTGGTTCAACCCCCTGCTCAAGCAAGAGACCCTTATAACTTTGTTTGCTTCAAATTGGTTGCTTAATTACTTATCCCAAAATTTTTCCAGGTATTGATGTCAGACTGATTGGTTTGTAATTTCTTGGATCTGTGAACCATGTTAGCTGTTTTTCAGTCCTCAGGTAGTTCCTCAGTAATCCAAGAACTTTGAAACATATGTTACAAGTGCAAAGTACAAATTAAGTACTTTCTGCTTTCCCTCTATTACCCACCCAATATTTCTTAGCCATCTTTGCTCATTAGTAAATCAATTATGTTTCTGATGTTTTCTCTTGTTTTTTATATGTTGAAAGAAACTTTTTAAATTGCTTTTGTAATAAGCAAAGTCTTACTTTGTTTAAAGCCTTAGCTTTCCTAACTTCACATTTGTAGGTTTGGGCTATTTGTTGGTAATCTGCCTTCTTTCCATTTTTTTGCACTTACCCTTTTCTTCCCTCTCTGAGAGTTCTTTCTGCAACCATGCTGGGGTTTTCTTATTTTTCTTTTTTAATGGTATCAAACTGGATCATTTTTCAGTTTCCCAAACTTCTTGAGTTGATTTCCCCTTTCAGATTTTCACCCACAAGATCCTTCCAAAGCTTTTTCTGAGTTTGTTAAAATCAGCTCTTTTAAAGTATAATAAACTGGTTGTGATTGTGTTCTGCTGCTTGTGCCTTCTTTATATTGAATTCTTATAAGACATCAATTTCCCATAAAGTTCCTCCAATTTACACCCCTCTATCATTTCTTCTCTGTTAGTAAGAATAAGGTCCAGTATAGATGTCCCTCTAGTTGCCTCCTCTACCTATTGGGTGATGACGTTTTGAGATAGGTGGGTCAGGAATTTCTTTGATCCCTCATTTGTTGCAGAGTTTGTATCCCATTTGATGTCAGAGTAATTAAAGTCCCCCATTGCTACTGTGGTGTGTTTCCTATATAAGTTGGTTAAGTGATTAGCAAAAAGTCCATCTATTCTATTTCTTCTGCTCAATTGGGTGGCCTGTAGTATATACCTATGGCAATGTCATTATTTTATGTTGACCCATATACATTCTAGAAATTCCTGCCTTAGATCTTTAAAACAATTTCTGATGCCTTCCAGAAATGCCTGAGACTACAGCTCCCAAATAGATTCTCAATCATCCAGGTCATGGTTGTCCCAAAGATGCTTTTCCAACTGGACTTTCTTGGGGTTCCCCCACCCCCTTGAAAACATCTTGCTTCTCATCCAAGAAGCTTCTTCAGAACTGAACTTTTTATTCTATTTTTTCTGGAGAGGTACAAATTGATGTTTTCCCCATTTGCCTCCCTTAGTTTTAACAATTTCATACCTGCTCTTCATGTTTTCACTAACAAATTATTTTCTGTTTATCTGTTCGACTACGCAACTCTCAGTGTTTCTATAGAACCATTTTTCATGTCATAAATGCTACCTTTCCTTCCCCTCTTTCTTTTCTTCTTTCTTAAAGTAAAGGTTCCCCTCACACATATGTGCTAGTCGTTCCTGACTCTAGGGGACGGTGCTCATCTCATTTCTAAGCTGAAGAGCTAACGCTGTCCGAAGACATCTCTGTGGTTATGTGGCCAGCATGACTAAATGCTGAAGGCACATGGAACGCTGTTACCTTCCCACCAAGGTGGTCCCTACTTTTCTACTTGCATTTTTACAAGCTTTCGAACTGCTAGGTTGGCAGAACCTGGGACAAGTAACAGGAGCTCATTCCGTTACACAGCACTAGGGATTCAAACCACCAAGCTGCGACCTTTCTGATCAAGAGCCGAGGTGGCGCAGTGGTTAAATGCAGCACTGCAGGCTACTGCTAGATCAGCAGTTCAGCGGTTCAAATCTCACCGGCTCAGGGTTGACT